ATCCTACATAAATAGAACAGAACAGCCAGTCAGTACCTACTGCAACATGGGACCTCATTTTATACGGTCTCATCCGAAGGACAGGTCAACCCATGATGTAAAGATCAACTCTTAACTTTACTACTAGAGAGCTGACACTCTAAACACTGTGCCATGCGGGCGATACTTTTTTTTGGGGGGGGGTATAAAATGAAGATAATGTAGAAAAACGATTAGTAATCAAAGTACTCAGAAGTACTGAAAGCCGAGCTCATTTACAGGGTAATGAACTATGACCGCGATGACAGTTTTAAAACAAGCCGATTCGGACATTGAGAAAATAATTATATCTATATCATATTTAGCATTAAAAAGTTTTAAAAATTAATTAAAATGTAGCTAGAATTCAACAGCGTAAAATATTTGTCACAAGTATCGTTTCGGAGGTTTATATACTAACAGAAGTAAATAAACACTGATGCAGCAAGATTATTTAAGGTCAAACGATTATGCACAGATGTGTCCCCAGCGGGGAATTTTGCATACATCAAGTCATTAATGATGTTCCCCGCATTTGTGATAACCTGATGGTACAACCTTTATTTATAGAATATGACGCAGACAGGGATGCCTGATGAAAACCTTTCGCAAATTTTAAGCAAATAATTAATCGTCAAAGACGATAAAAAGTATTGTCTTATAATTATTTTTTGACAATTTCAGATAACTTTGAAAGTCTATTTCAGTGTTTGTATTGCCTCGAAGGTGATTGCGCAAACATACTATATTTTTACTCGTAAATTTACCTTCGCGAGGGAGCCCGTGAAAACCTTTTAAATTGCTTTGTAAAATATTAGTCAAAGGAGCCAGGAAAAATATTAAACAATTTAATATTTTGATAGAAATATTTGATTTACTATTTCTCAAGGTGTTTGAATGGATTTTGTTTTCTAAAAAGTGGCTGGGCATACGTAATATATTTTTACTGGTAAACTCAATTTGGCGGTGAAGAGGCAGCATTTTCTGTTGCTCACCGTTGCAATAGCTGGGCATTACTCTATGAGCAATGAGACCGGCTAAAAATAGGAAGGGGTCTTTTAAAATATTATTCTCAGGAACTTCTGGGCAAGAGTGAGAAACCATACTTATGAAAGCTTCCTGAAATACATGTAATAAAGATAACTGTTTTTCAAATCATGACCAGAATAGGTATTCAAAATTTAACATAGGAAGATGTACCCCCGCAAACATAGTGATTGTGTATTTAGGGGGTGGGTTAGGAATTGTCTGTTTCACTGTCCAGCTGTCCTTCTGCCTCTCAAGGTTTTCCCAGAAGGCCAGGCATTAAATTTATGGAGAATCTGGAAGCTCATATTACTTGATACAAAGATTTCCAATGGTCTTAGGGTGTGTCCTGGCATTTGTTCAAGGCAATATATCGGCAAATTCAAGGTCACTAGAGAAAGACTTAATGTTTTGTCCGAGCCAGGCCATTTATATATGTAATCGAGATTATCTGGAAGCTCATACTTGATACAGAGATTTCTTGTGACAAAAAGGTTTTGTATTATTTAACTCAGAAAATAGTATCAATTCAATCTGGCCTTTAATTTTTTAAGTTCAGACTTGAAACAGATTGCTTATCTGGTTTCAGGCCAGGGGGCCATAAAAGCCCACTTTTGATCTCAGTCTCACTTTTCCTCTATTAATTCCTTTGGGAAAAGTGAGACTGAGATCAAAAGTAAGCTCGTCTAAGTTTTATGGCCCCCAGGCCAGATGCCTAAAAATAATGCCATTTTAACAAATTCAGGGTCACTGACAGAAAAAGTTGTAAAATTCCTGTCAGGCTTATAAATTTCTAATCACTAAAAGTTGTTTGAGATTGAGGGGTTGTCTTGACACAAATCCAGGGTTATTCCGTAGAGAGCAGGGTCACCCACTGACAGAAAAAATATTTTTTTTTCCATGCTACGAATTAGTAAATAAAAATCATTGGAGGCTCGAACTTGAAACATAGATTATTTATATTTAGAGGTTGTGTCATGACCTTGATGAAGGTCTCTCTGGCAAATCAAGGTCACTGACAGAGAGAAAAAATGTTTAAGCATAACTTTATAATTAAGATTCACAAGATGCTTATCCTGAGAATAGAGGTTGTTCTTATAAGAAAGTGAAGTGACCTTGACCCAAGGTTGGCACTTCCTGTCCACAGCTCCAACGGAAGACCTACTCATTGCTTTCCAACGAGCTCGGCTCTAGTTTGTTAGTTAACATCTCTTTTCTCTATATACACAGGATCCATAGTGTTACTTGATAACTTGGTGCTTCACATTACTACCCAATGTCAACATTTATGACAATTAACATTTAATTTGAAGTGCTTGGCACATATTGTTATTTATCTCATTCATTTAGATGATGCTGCCCGTGAGATAAACCTATGCTTATAATCAACAGCACTTCCAGTTTGGGCATGATCCCTCCAAGCGTCACTTCAAGATTTAAATTATCATACTTTAATTTGTAAAGATTCTTGTCATACTTTAATTTGTAAAAGTTCTTGCCATATAAAATGTATGATATTGAGCAAGAATTTTGATGAAAGCAGGATAAAGATTAGTATACCTCAATGAAGTGTAAAATTTTATCAAAGTATACAGTAACTGTAAAGACAGATGTTAACCACCCATACAAAAAAAAGGTACATATAGGCATACTTTTTTTGTGCCTTTTCAGTACCTAATGTGTGCCTACTATTATAGGTACAGAAAAGGCATACCTATTCTGTGCCAAAAATGAACTTAATTTTTTTCTAGTGTACCTAAAATGTACCTAATTTGGACTTTGTCATTTTACAGTGTGCCTGAAATGTGCCTACTTTAGACTTTGTCATTTTTCAGTGTACCTAAAATGTACCTAATTTGGACTTTGTCGTTTTACAGTGTGCCTGAAATGTGCCTACTTGAGACTTTGTCATTTTTCAGTGTGCCAGAAATGTACCTATGTTGGACTTAAATATTTCCCAGTGTACCTAAAATGTACCTACTTTGGACTTAGTCATTTTTCAAAGTGCCTGAATATAAATACTTTATTAATAGAAGACTGTGGTTTTTTTGTAGGGGGGGGAGTAGTAACCACTTTCTATTATTTATTTTCTTATATTATCATTCAACAATTTGTGCATTTGATTTTTATTTAAATTATACTTCAAATTTCACATCATTATTGCAAGAACTCATTATAATGTATACTGTTGTGTTGTGGAAAGGAAAAATGGGGAGGGGGTGTTAACACTGATGCACTCAAATGTCAAATATGTAATTATCATTAATTCAGTTCATCTTCTTAGGGAAAATAAAAGTTAAAGATCCATTTCTGTTCTTAAAATATGCCCCAGTTTGCCCTACAGAGTTCTTAATAAGTTTGATTAACATTTTCTGAGACAAAGGGGTACTGTCTATTAACCCCCCCCCCTCCGCTTGCTAAATGATTTTTACGTGTAATTTTATCAACTTGTTGCATTTATAAAACTAATTCTGCACTACTCTGAAATATGTATACATTAAAGCTGAACACTACTCGTAAATAGGCATTAGTCCGCCATATTTCTCATTCTTCAATGCTCTCCCTACAACTCGTATATAAGGAACAGATCGCTAGTCAGTTTAATGTCTTTTACTATAGAGATCCGACTAGTGCAGACGTACATCTTACAAAGCGTGCTACTCAATATCGATGAAATTATCAAATTTTACGTATTTTTTTCCAAAACAGGACAAAAGTATCATGGAAAATACAGGTCAATACATTATTTACAAACAGAAAATGCACATAAAAACAAGAGATAAACGCGAAAATCTAAGACCACGATAGGAGTACTACATGTCTCCCCCGAGTTTCGAGTGTGCAATCGGGTGTAACGAAAGCGAATGGTTTATATACCCGTCTGACAGTGCCTATTTATGAGAAGTGTTCAGCTTTAACCTACGAAACAGGAAATCACTTTCCACTTGAACGCATACAATACACAGGTAATCAACAGAGAGACCAGGTAGTCCGTGCACCTAGTGAAGTGGACATGTAGTCATGTAACCAACAACCAAATCTCCATAGTTACAATGCTTCTCAGTATTATTCTTGCTGTATTATTCTTTAAAATCTTTCTTTTGCTCTTAAACAAATTAGGCCTAATGATAAATGAATGTTTTTTTAACTATGTAAATAAACCAGTCTGATAAACTATGATTATTTTAACCGTTTTAAAAACCAAATACATTTTTTCAAAACCAGGTTGGATTAGCAAACCCCTCTAGTTGTAACAGATACAACTTTGTATTATAAATTATCAGTAATAAAATTTATATACACATGTGATGTCCAGTAGAGGTCCCATCACGCGACCACCTCATTCTCTCTCTCTCTCTCTCTTGTACATTTTGTAAATACAAAAATGTTTAGGATGTTTAAATTAACTTTATAGGGTGATAATTTATATCCATAAGTCCAGTTACTGGTGTATTTTAAAATAGACATTGTTTTATCTTTGTATACAAAACGATGTTGATTTCCACGGTATTCTTCAGTGACACAGGTGTTAATACACCCGATGACCTTCACCTGCAGAAATTTTGTACGTGTATCACGTGCAGTTCTCCACATACATGACAAACTGAAAGGGGTGATTTGATTAGATTTTTCAGCCCAATCGTAATGGGTAAAAATACAAAAGAAAAAATTACAGAATGAAATAAATACAGATGTTTTAACTATTACCGATACTTAAGATGTAGCAGTAAAAAAATATGTGTATATTTAAATATCAAGTCAGAAATTTCATACAAATAATAGCCCCCAAGATGCACAAAATACATAATTTATAATTATTCACATAGTATGCATACATGGATTGTATACATGGTATAATTTACATGTATTTCGATGTATGGAAGTGTGTAGGGTGTCAGTTACATTAATTAAGATTTTAGTTGAAATCTAACACGTAGGGAAATTAAATAATGAAAACAAAATTAGGGGGGCCTAATCAATTTGACAGTGATTAGTTGTGTAAACAAACACAAAATTAATGGTGTTCAAGATGGCGGTTCAATTATTTGCCCAAAATAGCCACTCTAAATTTCAAGGATTTCATCGCAATCGGCATTCAATTAAAGTTGGGGGGCCATTAAATCATTGTTAAACGTTCATTGTCATAATTATTTATTGTTTACACGAACTATTTTATGAATAATTTAATAAACTTTAATGAAATCACGTGACTCCAGCGAAGTCTATGATTGGTCAGTGGATAGCGCGGACATTACAGAGACGATTTGAAAATTTGCCGAGATGAAAATCTCAAAAAGAAATCAGAGAATTATTGGTCGGTGAGTGTTTATTTCAGTGTAAATTTTTATGCTGCTTGTTGTTAATGTATTTGTGCACTTAAAGAATGCATTAGAATGTGAATATCAAGTGTAGATTTTGCGAAATTCTAGGTATTTGTATCGTAGATTTTTGGTTTGTTTTGATTCAGTTTTCAAGATGGCCGTGCAGCTATCGCTACAGCCTACACATGATGTAAAGCCTTTTAGATATAATAATGTTGTTTAACCAAATGTGTAACAAGACTTTAAGAAGTGTTTCACAGTTTCAGAGTCTTTTTTTAAATATTACGTTTAACATGTTTAATGTGTCAATATCAGGGAATAGGTTATGCACAGTAGCCTCTGCATGGACATGGCGATAATAACAAACAGAAATTCAAATGAACTGTGTGAAATTAAGAACCCTCTATACACTGACGAAAAATGTTTTTTGGACTTTTGAGAAAATTATGTAGTGTAAAGGAGGCTACTTTGAAATAAACTAATCCATTTCTAATATAGGGAGCCTGCCTTCTTTATCCAGGAAAAATCTTTGATTGATTGATTGATTGTATACTGTTTAACGTCCCTCTCCAGAATATTTCACTGATATGGAGACGTCACCATTGCCGGTGAAGGCTGCAAATTTAGGCCTATGCTCGGCACTCAGGGCCATTGAGCAGGGAGGGATCTTTATCATGCCACACCTGCTGTGACACGGGGCCTCGGTTTATACGGTCTCATCCGAAAGATTGCCCCATTTAGTCGCCTTTTACGACAAACAAGGGGATACTGAGGACCTATTGTAACCCAGATCCCCACGGGGCGGAAAAATCTTTGAAGACGGTGAAGTAATGACAAAGAAAAATTGCTTTCGATTATTCAAATGGAGAAAATGCATGCAAATAAAGTTTTCAATTACTCTATCTTGGTCTAACATATGTTTAGAATACATGGATTTATTTAAAATTTTGTCATACAGTGCAAATTACAATTTATTCTTTTTTTATGTCAAATGGTGGGTCAGTCTAACTACACGCAAATACCCTGAAATTAGGGTGCAGTGTAGAGAGGGTCCTTAAATCATTGGTACCAGGTATATGAAGTTTGAAATGTAAATTAAGTAAACATCTCTTTTTAAAAAAAAGGGGGGGGGGGGTCAATAATTTTTAACATGTTTAAAGTATCAAAATTACAGCATTTATCCAAAATAATTAATTGATTTGAATTTATGTAATAAGTTTACCTAAAATCATCTCAACCCCAAGCTCTCCACTTGGTTCATGCAGGGGGGGGGGTATGACACACATCATTTCATTCAGTGACAATGTTTCAATAATATATTTAAAAAATAAGTATGTATATGAATGAGTGTTTGTCAATAATAATGTCACATACTTTCATGAACAAACTTTTTTTTTCTCCAGCAAAAATGTTGTCCCAGGGCTGTAGTCATTCTAAACTTGAGAGAAATGCATAAAGGCTATAACTCTGTCAGTAAGTATAAAATCTAATCTGATTCTTGAAAAAAAAATAATGATTAATGTATAAGAGTAAAATTAGTCACCACTTATCAAACTCCATTATAAATTTTAGGAATTTCAGATGCGGATCCAGATTTCGCGGGGAGGGGGGGGTGGGGGGGGGGGTGTGTCCAAATCACTTTTAATTGATTAATTATTTATACATATAATAACACAATAATGCAAATAGGAAGGGAGTTCGAGACTCCCCGGACCCCTCCCCTATTCCCCATTTTAAAAAGTGAGTTATCTCCCCTCAAAATCGGAACTCTTCTACACTAGCATAACTTCCGCGGACTACACGTTACGATAATCCAACAAAATAGTGATCAACTTACACGCTGCATTAAAAATTATAAAAGAAGGAAACGGTTTGCAATTTTTTTTTTAGATAATAAGCGATTTTATAAAGGGTCTGTTGCCCCCCCCCCCCCTTTCTAGGAAGCTATACGAATTAGCCAGGCATGTAGCATCGTCTTTAAAATGTAAATAAAAGCACATTTCTTTTTTTTTTTCTTTATATTGTTTCTATTTATATAAGTTTAGGTCACGCATGCGCACCAACAAGTAATCTTCAGTACTCTGAAGTTTTGTTGGTAAACAGAAGAAGAAAAAAAGGGGGGGCAGCCAAAGAAATATGTTTTTTCTTAACTGGAAAAGTTGACAAGCAAAGAAAAACCTTGCCCAAGGTCGAAAAGCTACTTATTTCAGTACCAGTTCCTTGGCATACAATACTACATTTCCCTTATATAACTTTACCGTAGTATAAACTGTGTGTGTGTTGGGGGGGGGGGGGGGGCAACCTGTCTTTCAATGAACATTTTCAATATCAAAAGTAAAACATGAATAACACTTGAGAAAAGAATGTTTTCCGTTAATTAACAAGAAATACGCTAGGAAATTATTGTATCAATTTGATTAAATGCAACTCAGACTTTATACGACATATGTAACACGAATTCAGGTCGATGCTATTTTAATTAGTCTTTCTTCGTTACATGAGCACATGAGATTAAATTATTCATTTAGAATTCCATTCAAAGTTTTAATACTATACATGCAGTGAATCAATTATTTTACATATAAAAAATTCTGGAAACACGGTTAACTCAAATGAAATAGGCCTTTAATTGTCACCAAATGTGTTCTTGTAAGTAAAAGTTCTATTTTGTGACATACAATCAAGCAAAAACGCAGTTTCTTGGTATCGGTCGCGGAAGACGAACTACTGCTGTATATGCAGCAATTTCAGGGGTAAAACTGTAGATGGACATGTCATCAGTCTCCAAAAAATTCCTAGAGATGCAGAGAAGAAAATATGGCTGCAGCAGGCTAGATTAATGCGTAAAAACTAAAAATTCTTATATTTGTTCTGCACATTTTGTAAATAATGATGATCCGTCTACAGAACATCCACTACCGAAAATTAGCTTTTTTTTTTTTAAATAGGCCTATTCGAATATGCATCAGCATTTTATCAGTAATTTGTTTCTTTTTTTTTTGTAAGAAGGGGAGGGGGCTCACACAGCGCCTTATTATACTACTATACAGATTAATACAAATCCAGAAAGAGACTATGAGTGGGCAATTTAAAAAAAAAATACGAATCAGTTAAGATTTCTTTTTATTCACAAACACAATAACATTTTTCCATATGACAGAGGCATTATACCATGAACATGTTTACATCAAGAACGTCCGCGGAAGTGACTTTATTTATAGCGCATGCGTATTAAACACAGTAAAAGAGTTCCCTTCAGGGGAAATAACTCACCTTTTGAAAATGGGGAATAGACCCAGGCATGGATTTCATCTATTTAATCTTTTTGAAAATAATTAAGCATCAAATGTAACTCAGTAAGTGAATTAGCACCAACTTTTTCAGAATTGAAGGAAATGGCATGAAAGAGGAAAGAAGAAATTGCATTGTACATTCAAATGGAGGATCTGTTTTTTTATGGAGTCCAGATGAAAATCACAACTGTACAGCAATCAGGATTTACCCTGGTAAAAGGTGTATTACAAAGCAGAAAATTCTGTGATGGGTTGGAACTCTATGAAAATAATGAAGATAACATGAATTTCAAGTGAACAATGTGTGGGGAAAAAAAAGACAAGAAATGGAGTATATTTTCAGTACCTTTACAATGACTTTGTGTATTAAAATTACTTTATGTATTGTAATATGCCTTAAAAGGTGCGTTTATTTTTTATCTTTTTTCTTGCAAAGAATGTATTAAATATCATTATTTTGTTTGAGTTAACAATATTAATTTTTTTAATATAGGGGATTTGTTATATATATAGATTCTGTTTATAGAGAGGATTTTTAAAGAAGTATTTTTCATATATTTTCATGTAGTATCATGCAATAAATTTTTATTTGTACCTGATAATTATTATTGTCAAATTTTTCCTTAATATAGACCTGCCTCAAATGTGCCTATTTGATAGGTACATTATAGGCATACCTGAAGTATACTTTTGGCACACTCTTTTTAAGTACCAATATGATAGAAATGTAGGCATACTTTAGGTAGACTTGTAGGTACATTTTAGGTATACTAATAAGGTACTTATCTGAATGTTTGCATTGTGTGCCAATATTGTGCTTTTTTTTGTACCTAAACTGTAGGCATACTTTAAGCAGGTCTGGGCGGCCTCCGTTTTTGGAGGATAACTAGATTCAATATGGCAGCCAAATTTTTTACCATATATGGAAATCGCAATGCAATGTCGGATAGTTTATCTTCTGATTTCAGAGGATAGCACAGGTAATTTTCAAACTCCGCATGCCTACCTTTAATCAAAAAGTGCAAGCACCAGAGTACAATTAAATAAAAGATCAGACATTAAACTATCAATTGTATGTGGCGATTTGAGATTCTATGTCTAGAATTTTTACAATACGCTTTCAAAGTTGGCACTTCTTGCGCTTCATTTCTACTCAATATTTCTTGTTATTTTGTTTAATTTTTATGTTTTTTCCCTATCAGGACAAATAAAAAGGCACTTAAATGCTCAAACAATACATTAATAACATTACTTTCATATTTCTTTTAATTAAAGATTAGAGGAAAAGGAAACACAAAAGAAAACGTACTGTAAAGACAAAATACACTCTGCCTGATAATTTAAGCAAAGATAAAATAAATATTATTTAGAGGAAATAAGAAAAAAAATCCCACTTTTTAGCTATGCAGCATCTAAACTTCCGCTAGAGTTCTTAGATGAGGCCTCGACGGGGACCATGCATTCGCAGTATATATATTTCCACGGACAACGTAAGTTTCAGTCAGATTAGTTTTGACAACGGGTACACGCAATTGAATTTAAGTCAGTCTTAACTGATAAGGGGGACGGTCTAACCTTGCTGTAGATGGAGATTGATCCTAATTTATTTCAGGGGTCTTAATATTTCAGTTTTATTAGATGTATACACATACAACAGTATAGAAGACTAATACAGAACGGAAAGTAGCTCCGCCCACTGTAGTCCCATGCAGAAGAGCAAACTTCAAAGAAAAAATTCCTCAACCGTCTTATTAAATGAAATAATACATGATGAAACTGAATTTTTCAAAAATATGTTTTTTAAAACTTTTATGCTGTTAACACATAATTATGGTACCGGAAAATGAGGTTGGCTATAATTAATTTTCAGACAGGAAAGGGTCTTTAACAAAGCTTTCAAATGAATAATTTATTGACAGCAAATGACCAAAAATGTTAAAATGATTTAAATACCTATATTTAACCATCATCGTATGAAATTTAATCTTTTATTTGTTTTGGTTGAAAAATCAGAGTACGGTACATAAACTGGGATAAGAGATGCAAGAGTTGCTGTTATTTGTTTGGTTTAGACTGCCCTTTGTTTTGAAAAGTCCGGTAGGTGGCGACACCTCCATCCTCTGTTTCTAGAGGATAAAATCTATCCTCCAAAAACAGAGGCCGCCTAGACCTGTTAAGTATACTTTTGGCACAGTCTTGAAGGTATCTTCTTGGTAGATTTATAGGCACATTTTAGGTATGCCTAGAAGGTACCTATCTGATCATGTGCCAATATTCTCTTTTTTTGGTATGTAAACTGTAGGCATACTTTAGGTATACTTTTGAAGTTTGTATCTTTTAGGTAGATTATAGGCACATTTTAGGCATGCCTAGAAGGTACCTATCCGATTGTGTGCCAATATTGTGCATTTATGATACCTAATGTGTGCCTATCATTAGATTTAGGTATACTTTAGGTATGCCTATTGTGTACCAATTTGCTACCTATACTTGTACAAGTGGTTCCAAACTTGCATACTTTAAGTATACTTTTTTTGTGCCTATTTTTACCCAAGATAGGTATGCCTAATCTGTACCTTATTTTGGTATGGGCACCCCTGTTTCTTTTTTTCAAAAAACATTAGGCCTAGCAGTTAAGTTGTTGTTGCAAATTCCTTAATATAGACACATTTCATACATTTTACTTTGTTTCCTTATGATAATGTATGTGTAACTTACCAGGAATCTTCATGTACTTGTAGTTTTAGGTGGCCTAGCTTAGCACCGTTTGCACTTCCACCATTCCAAGAATAACAGTGTAAAATTCATGATTCCTCGGTCCTAACAACTGTAAGCTTTTGAAAGTTTAAAAGACCTCCTACAGATTGTCACACATTTTTAAAATTAAAAAAACGCAGATAGCAAAGATTTTTTTTACCGGTACACGACTTTCTTTCTTTTATGTCCACATCAGCAGAACAACATCAGCAATATATATGTCAGCAATTTGAATAGAAATCGTTCATATAGTTTTAAAGGGGTTATCTGTAATTTTGTGGAAAAAAACGTATGAGATAAATAGAACATCTATAATTGTGTGATTTGATATTGACTTCATCCAACTCATTGAAAAAGTGTATATTTGCTCGTAATGCCTGGCAAATATGCTCCATTTCTACTCGCTGGATAAAGCCAATATCAAATAACACAATATAGATATCCTCTATTATTATGATGTTGATTAAGTAAAGGATCACTTCATTCTAAATAGGAATTTGACCTATAGGACCGGGCTTGGTTTTTTTCTCTACAAAAAACATTGTCAATTTCCATTCCAATTAATGACATTAGGCTGAACACATATAATAATATGTTTTTCCTGTCTTTTTTTCACTGAGTAGAGGTATGAGAAACCATTTCATTGATTTCCTGAATTTGTTATCTCCAAATGTAATAATTGATATTTGTCTTAACTTCTCAATTATGTCCATAATGGTAATGTTTATTGTCTCTAAAATTCTTTTCTTTATGTCGCAAGGCTCTTTTAGCTGTGAATATAATAAAACGTGCCATTAATGTGTGCAAATTATATAGGCCTAAATGAAATCTAAGGGAGTACAATTACTGATATTTGTAGCCAAAATCATGGTGATTAAATTCTAAATAATATAATATACAATTGAAATTCTTCGCAGCTCAATACTCCAAGAATACCTGTATTGAGTAACATAGAGTGAGTTATAATTGTCCTCGAGAAAGTGTGCTTATACTGAGGTTTGTTCCGCCTGACTGACAACTGTACTTTGGATTGTTACGATTTGATATTTCTTTAGTGTTTCTTATATCAAGAATGAGCATGCATAAAGGATAGATAATTGAAGCAAAATACACAAGTCTATAAAAAAAATATATGAAAATAGCCTTTGATAAGGCGAAGACTTAACACTTTGAAAGTGTGGTACCAGGTGGATTGGAAACCCCAATCTTTAAAAAGTTAGTTCGCACAGTGTAACAGTCAGCGCTTAAATCAACTGAGTAAGTCTGACTATAAGATTTGAATGTATAAATTTGAAGCAGATTATTAAAATCTGGTTTTCATATTTTTTGTAGGTTTTTTTTGTGAATTTCGACCCTAGGGCAGGAGTGCCCCTAAAAAAGTCCTATGTTATATTATTCCATACATCCAAACCTATCAAAATATTACAATTTTATTTAGGGGCAGGCCTGGCCTGAAGTACTTTTAGGCCAACATTCTCACAAAAATTTATGCTTTAATGGACAAAATGGTGTTCCGGCCAACTTTTGAGGTTTATTGTAAATGATACATTTTAGGTTTAAAATGCAAAGGACTATATATGTTAAGAGCCAATTTTGGCCCCCTAAAAATCAGCATTTTTGAATGACATTCAGATATGTTTAATTGATATTTATTTTGTGGAAGAGATTATATTAGATATATTTCCGATATATTTTTCACATTTATATGCACTCACTGGCTGTAAATGATGACGGAAATAACACTTCTTTATATATCTAACCAAAAAAGCCAAAAATAAGTCTTTTTCTTGATGTTTTTTCTTATGGGAAACAAAGAGCGCATTGTAGAACATGCATAATTTTTCTGTCAATAATTAGTATTGAATAGATACATCTTTGGTAAAAAATTAAAGTATATAATAGTTTGCGCTCAATATTTTCTGGAAGAAAAACTGCTTGAAAAAAGCAGTTTTATACAAAATATGCTAAAATTGCAGGAAAACATGAACTTTCTGATTTCATATTTCTATATCAACGGCATTTTGATCAAATTGAAAATTAACAATAAAGGTCGCATGTATAACTGTGCAAAGTAAAGCTATATATAAATTAAAAGTAAGATATTCATTTTAGGGGGCCATTTGAGACACTTACTATATATTGCTCTTTGAAAAATTTAGACATATACCGGTCTACGATAGAAAACAACAAATAAAGATTAATTTTTAAATGTCACTTTTTCTGGGAAAATGTTCTCTCCTATAGTTCAATTCTTTTGTTATAGTGAATAGTGAATACATCCTTTTTAAACACAAGTACACCAAATTATAGAGTATTTATGCAGGTAAATTTTGTGACATTTTATACCGTATGTATAGCCGGATATAAACAAAGAAAATTTTATTGACAGTGCTATTTGTAAAAGTAAAAAAAAAATGTTGTGCACTGAGACCACCAATATTTAAATGGAATAAATGCATATGACATCATAGGCCTTTAATATTTTGTCAAAATAACGAAAGGATCATTTCAACAGCATGCAAGAAATTATTAGTTTTGGTTAAGGAAGCTCTAAACACTGCACACTAACGAGCTCTACTTATAGGGTAGTTTTATGCAGTTTAAGAGTGATCTGCCTGTAGAAGTAAGATTTTAAAAGATGTTATTTTCTGTTAATTAGATGATTAGTAATAGATTAAATTGTTTTTAGCAGTATATTAGACCAAGATTAAGTAATTGATTTCATTATTTTCATTAATTTTCCCAACGTAAGTAAACAGCAGTGATTTCTGCTCATAAATAGTCCATTGTCTTTGAGCATTCTTCCTGCAGAAATAAGGCAGGCACCCATTGTTACAAATAAATGAAAAAACTCGGTATGCACACCTTTATATAATATATTTTTCTCCAAGTCTAAAAAGCAGTTTCTGTTAGTGTTTAGAGCTTTCTTAAATAATATTTGAAATATTCAAAGAGTTTGTTTTTCTGGGACAACCATCGAATAAGAGTTTCTTTTAAATCAAGTCATCCATTAATTTCAGACTGCACATATAGTTGAGGAAAACCTTTTATAAACCATCTTTTCTTTTATATGACAGGTTCTCTAGCAGCTGTAGCAGCTTTTTCAATGGCTCTTGGTGGCATTTTGGCTTCAGATAGGCTGTTTTTAGGACTGTTAAAGCATCTACTAAATTGCCCAATGCAGATATTCCAAGAGCACTCTATGGGGCAATTCATAAACCGCTACTCATCAGACATAGCTGAAATAGATTTTATTGTTCCATTTACCATACGGTCAATGGTCAATATTTTGCTTCAACTGGCTTCCGTTCTTGGTCTAATTTTGTATGCAGTTCCTGCCTTTGGAATAATAATCCCAATCTTGGTTATTCTATACTATGTTTTACAGGTATCTTTTATTATACTTTTTATTTCTTCTGGAAAGTAGGACACAATCTATCACTATCTTGTCTGCAAACAGTACTATATATCCATAAATTCATATGTCCTGCTATATGATGAGTAAGCTTTTGATTCATTTGCTGAACTGATTTGGATTTTTATCTATTATCCATTTTTTTTTAAGGATGTATTCTTCTGATACC